TTGACAGACCGGGTTAGCAGGTTTGTGCTAACTTTTGATAAGATAAGACATGCACACTTGAACTTTTTCATTAAAAAGTTTCACTTGATGCCGCACTGCCCTCTCTAGCTGATGGGACGGTAGTGTAATGTCCTCGCGTCCTGTCATGAATGCACAGATGAGCATGAAACTCACTTTGAGTGCTTTTTATGGCCTCTTATCTGTTCTTGTTTAAACTGCCACCTCCACTCCCATTTCCTCCTAATACTGGGAAATAACTGAAACACTTTATATTAAATAAACAATGATTTATCTGCGATATGCAAACTTATATGCTATATGTTGTCCCCTGTCCTCTGAGATCAATGGCTTAACTAGCGTAGCCATGTAAGATTTACCATCAGTTTTTCCTCCTTCATTTCCTGAAAACAAGTTTGTTATCATTTTTCCTTTTCGTACTCAAGTGACTCATGGATTCTCTGTGGCTCTCTCATGCGTACCATATAAATACAAGTTTACAGAGACATGTCTTCTGTGTAGATCATCTTAGCATCTGGAGGTCTTGGAGGCATCGCAATTCAGTTTCACAAATTGGAGTTAGCCTCTTACTTTTTATATATCATTTACATTTAAGTCAGTTTTAAGGTTTATTATTACAGATATTTTATTTTTGAGAATATTTTTACGTTTGGATACCATCCATTTGTATTGATGACCACCTGGTCGGCTCGGTCAATCATGCAGTTTACCTGTTTTTTCATTTTTCTTGCTCTGTTTCCTCCTCTTCATTGGTGTATGTATGTTCCTGTACAGAACGTGCTTCTGCCATTTAGCTCGCAAGTCAGGGAACGCTTACTCTACACAGGTAATCTTAACCTTTAACCTATTGCAATAGTTGCAAATGAGTTTTATGCTTCTTTTTGAGCTGCAAGATGTTAGGATCTGCTTAATGTGGGTAACTGTGACTTGTGCTACTTTCTTCTGTCAATATGGCTATCTGGAATCAGTCAATCCTCTTTAGTTGGCGTGGTGATGTTACAATAAAAATGTATGCCTTTTATTTCAAGGCATTCATTTTGCACTGCAATTGTACTGTGTTTTGTTCCTAAAGAGCAAAGACCGGCTTGAAGTAATGGCAATCTGTGTGTTTTTATCCATTTTAGATAACAGAAAGTATGGGCTGTTCCTTGAAATGAAACCTGATGGCTCCGTTAGAGGGTCTCAAGAAGAGAAGCGCAACTGTAAGCAACTGCTGCAAACATTAAAGAGTTAAAGAACACAGTTTACTGACGGAGTACTATTGTAATCATTAAGTAACCCTCATTATGGCCTTACTTCTCAGAATGTCCTTCAAGGACAAATACCTTATAAGAAAAGATAATAATTATTCATAATATCTGTGATAACAAGGGTTATGCAAATAATAACAAATTGCATGCTGTAGGTGTGCTGAACCTGCGTTCAGTGAAAGCCGGGGAGACGGTCATCCAGAGTGCGGCTACATCTCTCTTCCTCTGCGTGGATGATAAAGACAACTTGAAAGGACAGGTCTGGACATTTTTCACACATCTTCACAAATTTGAAACATCCAATAGAGCATGGTCATTTAAAAACAAATAAATAAAAATATAATAATTTCATAAACTGAAAAATTACAATTAGTAAAAAGACACCATTCTAGCGTAGCAGAGAGAGAGCAGTGTATACATAAAATGGATACAAGCATTTACTATTTTGCCATTTAAAAGCAAATTGTACAAGCAAAATATACAATATTATAATTAGGGATGCTCCGATCCGCCATTTTCGCCTCAGATATTGGCCGATACCGATACCGAACCGATACCAGTCAAGTTTTTTTCCCCCATTTAAATAAATGTAGAATTTATATATCTCTGTGTGTGGAACTGATAATCATTCTTTCACAGTCTACTAGATACAGACTACTTCATTATAAAGAAAAATAAAATAAACAATAATTATGAAAAAATATATGCCTATGTATATTTATAATCTATGACAATAATGTTTGCCAACAAAGGGTATATTATAACAAAGTATTGAGATGAAATTTTGTTATTGACCAAATACTTGTTTTCCACCATAATTTGCAAATAAATTCTTTAAAAATCCTACAATGTGATTTTCTGGATTTTTTTTCTCATTTTGTCTCTCATAGTTGAGGTATACCTATGATGAAAATTACAGGCCTCTCTCATCTTTTTAAGTGGGAGAACTTGCACAATTGGTGGCTGACTAAATACTTTTTTTCCCCACTGTAGCTCACATTAAGCTATCATATGGCTTCAGAAGTAACACAGAATAATTTGCACAATCGGTGGAAAAAAAAAAGAAAATCTCGGATTTGGATCGGCTCTCTCTGACTGATACCCGATCCGAGAAAAATGGCACTATCGGAGCCGATACCCGATATGAATATCGGATCGGCGCATCCCTAATTATAAAATACAATTGTATTTAAAAATAATTTAGGTAATTATTAAAAACTTTATATAGTTAAGGTACTGAGTTTTTTTTTTTTTTAAAGAAATGTATGCTTTTATTTAGCAGTGAGGCATTAAATTGATCAAAATTGACAGTAACGACATTTATAATGTTACAGAGAATACATTTCAAATACATCTCCTTTTTTTCTGTTCATCGAAGAATCCTGAAAAAAAAAGAATCACGATTTTCACAACAAAAAATTATGCTGTATTCAACATTTTTTTCAGAATGTTTTTGAGCTGCAAATCAGCAAATTAAAATGATTTCTGAAGGATGATGTGACACTGAAGGCTGGAGTAATGATGCTGAAAAATCAGCTTCGCATCAAAGAAATAAATTACATTTTTTAAATATATTTATATTATATATTAAATATTAATATATAAACTAAATTACATTTCGATCAAATAGATGCAGCCTTGGTGAGCATAAGAGACATTTAAAAAAAACTATTTGTGTATTTTTTTAATGATTTGCACAACATTTAAAAGTCATTGATATTAAATGTATTTATAAATAATGTTTTTACAATTAATAATTCGTTTTCTCTTCACAACTACTCAAATTCTAGATTTGTCGAAATGTTGATTTTTATTTTATTACACATAATACTACATATCTTATTTTTTTATATTTATGTTTTTGAATCCTGTATTTCATTATTTATTAAATGTGGAATTGATTTGACATGGTTTGCAACACCTGTAGTAAACATTGAGTAAGCTGTTATATTTATTTAAGGTAACCTACATGAATCTCACTGGAGTCTTGCACACATTTGGGACTGAGCTTTGTTTTCTTTTTCAGCCGCACTACACTGAAGGAGACTGCACCTTTCAGGAATTGCTGCTGCAAGATGGATATTCTTATTTCCTTTCTCCACACACTAGGAAACCCGTGTCGCTCCCTTCAAAGCAGTCTGGGCAGAAACACGGTGCCCCACTTTCTCGGTTCCTCCCTGTTATGAATACTCAATTGGCAATGGCGGGGAAAGGAGAGGACAGCCAGATACAGGAGGTGAAACAGTATATTAAGGACATAAACCTGGACTCTGACGACCCACTAGGAATAGGAGCTCAGTCACACATTCAGACTGTCTTCAGTCCCAGTCTGCATAGTAGGAAATGAGGACTGGAGAACATCAGTTATGGAGGCATACTTTACATTATTACTGGACTGCGATGTTTAAAATGTTTTGTTACTGTATTTTTTTTTATATTTATTTGAACTTATTTATTTATTTGCTATGGTCTAAAATTATTTAAATTAATTTAAGTAACTTAAATATTGTTATATTAAACATCATACAATCGTTGGTAACACTTTACAATAAGGTTCCATTAGTTAATGTTAGTTCATTTATTAACTAACATGAACAAACAATGAACAATACATTTACTACAGTATTTATTCATCTTTGTTAATGTTAGTTAATGAAAACACAGTCGTTCATTGTTAGATCATGTTAATTCACAGTGCATTAAATAATGTTAACAAGCACAAGTTTCGATTTTAATAATGCATTAGTAAATGTTGAAATGAACATTAACTAAGATTAATAAATGCTCTAGAAGTATTGTTCATGCTTAGTTCATGTTAACTAAAGTAGTTAACAAATGTTAACTAATGAACCTTATTGTAAAGTGTTACCCAATCGTTCATTTAAATATTTCAATTCAGCTGGAGAAGATTCCACTTTCAGTTTGTTTGTTCTTTTTGTAGTGCACCGAGTCACTTCAGTATGATTTTTGTGTCCTTAAAAATGTGAATAAATAGTACACAAACATGGCTCAGCGTTACACAATTCACGGAGCACACACACATCATAAATGACTGTACATATTTTCCTAAAAAGCCTTTGAATACACAAGCATTTCAACAATGTCAGAACAGCAGTAACACAAAACTGCTCCAGATGAATGATACTTAAGACTTTATCCATTCGTTGGGACACACAAATCCCTGGCACATTCATGGCTGCAACACGGGTGACAAAATACATGACATTTAAATGACACCGCAGGGCGCTTCTTCCTACGAACAAGTCCGATAATATATATATATATGTCAACGATTCCAGTAAGATCTTTAAAGCAAAGGTGCAAACGCTTTTATTGCACAAGACAGCTCAGCTTATCCTCAGCTATTTTTCCAAACGCATTGAGATGCCACTCTCTGAATAGATCAAAATAGTGTCTCAAATAAATACATTCAGTGATTTAAAGTTCAGAGTAAAGGTTGTGATGTCAAAATAGTTTGGTTACCGGAACCTTAGGAAAGCGGTTTAAAGATGTGTTATAGATAGAAAGTCAATGTTTTTTGTAACTTCTTTATACCTTTCCTTTGGATACTGCATCTGCATTTTGTACCTTCTCAGCCTCTTCATCAACCGTTTTCTGTTTCTTGCATTTATTCCTTCCCATCCTCCACATATATTCAGTGAGTCACAGTGAGATAGGAATGAGAGATGGAGGTGGTCCTGTACCATGTTTTAAGGTACAGGACCACCTCCATCTCTCATTCCTCCTCTTTGATCTCCAGTCTCTCAGACTTGGGTGACCAGTGGGTAAACGCTCCCTACACTTTGCACTCCGGTCTGTCCCGCGCAAAGCCCAGCCAGGAGAGTCCCATTAAGAGGGGCGCAGATCCCCCTATAGGCCGTGCCTCCTTCGAGAGGAATGCGGTCTCCCTGTTCCCCAGGCCCTTCCTCACCTTCTTCTCCTTCTTCCCCAACTTCTTCCCCCTCCCAAAGGGAGGTGCTGACGTGTGTGTATTCCTGGTTGTCCTCACACTCCATTTCGCGGTGGTAGAAGTAGCTGAAGTTGGAAACGATGACGGGAACGGGAAGCGAGATGGTGAGCACGCCGGCGATGGCACACATGGAGCCCACCAGCTTTCCGCCCACCGTCTCCGGATACATGTCGCCGTACCCCACTGTTGTCATTGAGACCACAGCCCACCAGAAGGCTTCTGGGATGCTGGTGAAGGCCGTTCCAGGTTTGTCCACCTCGGCAAAGTATACGGCCGAGGAGAACAGGATGACTCCGATGAAGAGGAAGAAGATGAGCAGCGCCAGCTCCCTCAAGCTGAGACACGTCACTTGACTGTTTTCCAACCCCCCCAGAGTCTCTGCTCCCAATCTGTGTATCAGATTTAACGACACGTCTAAAATAATCTCAGCAATAACCCTACACTGCTCCTGCACTTTTCGTCTATGTTTTCTTTTTTTAAAGCAACTTCTCACACTTTTAAACTTACCTATTATTATGTGTGATTTGAAATGTGTACACATTTTTTAATTTGTAAGTGAATCTGTATAGGCCTATAGTCAGTAAGAATGCCTCTGTGTTCTTAAAAGTTTAGCATTTAGCATTAAACATTGTTTTTACATTTGATAGAAATTCAATATGCAGTGTACACAGCACACTACTTGGATAAGTTTGCCTATACTTGGATATGCTTTCCTTTTTTTGGTCTTACCGGAGACATTTGTACATTGTTTTTCATAATATTTTGGATGGCAAGTACATTGAGAATATTTAATAAGGTGCAGCCACATTAGCAACATTTTGCAGGCAAAAAAGTCTCTATTGTCAACAGTGTAGTGATGAATGAAGCACAGCTCAAATAGAAGTCACTTTCAAACAAAGCAGCTTTCTGCTGGTCAACACAGATAATCTGCATTACCAACAAACTGCTGCGAAACCTGTCACCTTCCCAGTCATGTAGAGTCCATTTAAAACAGAAAATGTGACCACACATATAGTCTTTAAATTAATATTTAAAATGGTTATTGAAAGCTATTAATACTTAAAATAAAAATATAATAAATAATGTAATGTATTAAAGTAATGGAAGTAGCAAAAGACCCTTTCTTCCATATTATGACATACATCTAATTAAACGAATTATTGAAATGAAAAAAAAAATTTAGGGTGCGGACTTGGTTTTGTCCATCGGTTGTTGATTGGATGAAGGTGGGTCTTAAAGAGGTCGGTTATAAAAAGAGGCAGGATTTATGTGAACTTAAAGAGATAGTTCACCCAAAAATGAAAATTACCCCATGAATTACTCGCCCTCAAGCCATCCTAGGTGTATATGACTTTCTTCTTTCAGACGAGTACAATCAGAGTTATATTAAAAAAATGCTCTGCGTAATTCGCTGGATCACCACTCTCTCGTGAACGTGCGTACGACAGTTAGCGGAAGCTAGAGATTACGGTTTATGAAGTTTTAAATATGGATATTTTTTGTACAAAAATGCATCGATTCGCTTCAGGAGGCCTTTATTAACCCCCCGGAGCTGTGTGGAGCTCTTTTTATGATGGATTCATGCACTTAATTTTGCTTCAAAATCTTGACCCCCCCATTCACTGCCATTATAAAGCTCGGAAGAGCCAGGATATTTTTTAAACATAAGTCCAGTTGTATTAATCTGAAACAGTAACGACATTTATAATGTTACAGAGAATACATTTCAAATACATCTCCTTTTTTTCTGTTCATCGAAGAATCCTGAAAAAAAAAGAATCACGATTTTCACAACAAAAAATTATGCTGTATTCAACATTTTTTTCAGAATGTTTTTGAGCTGCAAATCAGCAAATTAAAATGATTTCTGAAGGATGATGTGACACTGAAGGCTGGAGTAATGATGCTGAAAAATCAGCTTCGCATCAAAGAAATAAATTACATTTTTTAAATATATTTATATTATATATTAAATATTAATATATAAACTAAATTACATTTCGATCAAATAGATGCAGCCTTGGTGAGCATAAGAGACATTTAAAAAAAACTATTTGTGTATTTTTTTAATGATTTGCACAACATTTAAAAGTCATTGATATTAAATGTATTTATAAATAATGTTTTTACAATTAATAATTCGTTTTCTCTTCACAACTACTCAAATTCTAGATTTGTCGAAATGTTGATTTTTATTTTATTACACATAATACTACATATCTTATTTTTTTATATTTATGTTTTTGAATCCTGTATTTCATTATTTATTAAATGTGGAATTGATTTGACATGGTTTGCAACACCTGTAGTAAACATTGAGTAAGCTGTTATATTTATTTAAGGTAACCTACATGAATCTCACTGGAGTCTTGCACACATTTGGGACTGAGCTTTGTTTTCTTTTTCAGCCGCACTACACTGAAGGAGACTGCACCTTTCAGGAATTGCTGCTGCAAGATGGATATTCTTATTTCCTTTCTCCACACACTAGGAAACCCGTGTCGCTCCCTTCAAAGCAGTCTGGGCAGAAACACGGTGCCCCACTTTCTCGATTCCTCCCTGTTATGAATACTCAATTGGCAATGGCGGGGAAAGGAGAGGACAGCCAGATACAGGAGGTGAAACAGTATATTAAGGACATAAACCTGGACTCTGACGACCCACTAGGAATAGGAGCTCAGTCACACATTCAGACTGTCTTCAGTCCCAGTCTGCATAGTAGGAAATGAGGACTGGAGAACATCAGTTATGGAGGCATACTTTACATTATTACTGGACTGCGATGTTTAAAATGTTTTGTTACTGTATTTTTTTTTATATTTATTTGAACTTATTTATTTATTTGCTATGGTCTAAAATTATTTAAATTAATTTAAGTAACTTAAATATTGTTATATTAAACATCATACAATCGTTGGTAACACTTTACAATAAGGTTCCATTAGTTAATGTTAGTTCATTTATTAACTAACATGAACAAACAATGAACAATACATTTACTACAGTATTTATTCATCTTTGTTAATGTTAGTTAATGAAAACACAGTCGTTCATTGTTAGATCATGTTAATTCACAGTGCATTAAATAATGTTAACAAGCACAAGTTTCGATTTTAATAATGCATTAGTAAATGTTGAAATGAACATTAACTAAGATTAATAAATGCTCTAGAAGTATTGTTCATGCTTAGTTCATGTTAACTAAAGTAGTTAACAAATGTTAACTAATGAACCTTATTGTAAAGTGTTACCCAATCGTTCATTTAAATATTTCAATTCAGCTGGAGAAGATTCCACTTTCAGTTTGTTTGTTCTTTTTGTAGTGCACCGAGTCACTTCAGTATGATTTTTGTGTCATTAAAAATGTGAATAAATAGTACACAAACATGGCTCAGCGTTACACAATTCACGGAGCACACACACATCATAAATGACTGTACATATTTTCCTAAAAAGCCTTTGAATACACAAGCATTTCAACAATGTCAGAACAGCAGTAACACAAAACTGCTCCAGATGAATGATACTTAAGACTTTATCCATTCGTTGGGACACACAAATCCCTGGCACATTCATGGCTGCAACACGGGTGACAAAATACATGACATTTAAATGACACCGCAGGGCGCTTCTTCCTACGAACAAGTCCGATAATATATATATATATGTCAACGATTCCAGTAAGATCTTTAAAGCAAAGGTGCAAACGCTTTTATTGCACAAGACAGCTCAGCTTATCCTCAGCTATTTTTCCAAACGCATTGAGATGCCACTCTCTGAATAGATCAAAATAGTGTCTCAAATAAATACATTCAGTGATTTAAAGTTCAGAGTAAAGGTTGTGATGTCAAAATAGTTTGGTTACCGGAACCTTAGGAAAGCGGTTTAAAGATGTGTTATAGATAGAAAGTCAATGTTTTTTGTAACTTCTTTATACCTTTCCTTTGGATACTGCATCTGCATTTTGTACCTTCTCAGCCTCTTCATCAACCGTTTTCTGTTTCTTGCATTTATTCCTTCCCATCCTCCACATATATTCAGTGAGTCACAGTGAGATAGGAATGAGAGATGGAGGTGGTCCTGTACCATGTTTTAAGGTACAGGACCACCTCCATCTCTCATTCCTCCTCTTTGATCTCCAGTCTCTCAGACTTGGGTGACCAGTGGGTAAACGCTCCCTACACTTTGCACTCCGGTCTGTCCCGCGCAAAGCCCAGCCAGGAGAGTCCCATTAAGAGGGGCGCAGATCCCCCTATAGGCCGTGCCTCCTTCGAGAGGAATGCGGTCTCCCTGTTCCCCAGGCCCTTCCTCACCTTCTTCTCCTTCTTCCCCAACTTCTTCCCCCTCCCAAAGGGAGGTGCTGACGTGTGTGTATTCCTGGTTGTCCTCACACTCCATTTCGCGGTGGTAGAAGTAGCTGAAGTTGGAAACGATGACGGGAACGGGAAGCGAGATGGTGAGCACGCCGGCGATGGCACACATGGAGCCCACCAGCTTTCCGCCCACCGTCTCCGGATACATGTCGCCGTACCCCACTGTTGTCATTGAGACCACAGCCCACCAGAAGGCTTCTGGGATGCTGGTGAAGGCCGTTCCAGGTTTGTCCACCTCGGCAAAGTATACGGCCGAGGAGAACAGGATGACTCCGATGAAGAGGAAGAAGATGAGCAGCGCCAGCTCCCTCAAGCTGGCCTTCAGCGTCTGGCCCAGGATCTGAAGGCCTTTGGAGTGGCGAGACAGCTTGAAGATCCGGAAGACTCGAACCAGACGGATGACCCTTACGATCGCCAGGGACATGGTTGGCGTCGCGCCCCTAGACTTGGCCAGCTCTGTGCCGAGTGTGATGAAGTAGGGAATAATGGCGAAGAAGTCTATGATGTTCATCACATCCTTGAAGAAGGACATCTTACTGGGAGAGCAGGTGAAACGCATCACTAGCTCAAACGAGAACCAGCAGATGCACATGGTCTCCACCAGGAAGAATGGATCTTGGAAGGGAGAGGACATTGGGATGTGCGAGGTATTGTTTCCGGCAAGGAAAGCCTGGTATGCCATTTGCTGCAAAAGAGAGAGAAAAGAATAAAGATAAGGATAAGAAATTAGATGCAGAAACGGGATAAATACATATGACATTCAAGAACATACTAAACACAGCTAAAGTGTAAAGTGCATATTGCATATTCAATTAAAGTATATTATATATTTGCATATTCAAGTAAAGTGCATTTTGCATATTTGCATAGGCCTATGTTGAGATTCTTATTTTGTGTGCTTTCAATATACTGTAGTTTAAATATTTTCTGTGTGGTTACAACCTAATACTTTTAATTTACTGTGCAACTATGTGTGTCTTTGTGTGTACTTTGGATTTTTGGAAACAAATCTGACTAAATCTGACAACATTTTGTGGACATCCTCATTTGTAAAACCTGTATATATTAAAATTTTCAATTTTTAAATTTTGTAATGAAATATGTATTCTTTTAAATTTAGAACTACTTTTAAAACTATATCGTTATTAATATATAGTTAAAGGGGATGTATAATGCTATTTCATGCATTTTGACTTATTTACACTACTAAAGAGTTGAATTCCCATGCGCTAAACATGACCAAAGTCTCAAAAAACGAGTTGAACATAAGATGGGAGTATTTTTGTGCCAAATAGACTCCTTCAGGTTTTGTATAAGTTTCTGGAAAAAAAATTCTCGAGCATGGCCCTGTATGCCATCATAAAAGAAGAGCACGTGCTTCATTCGGGTTACGGAAGTCGTCGGCACAAGAATTGCTCGAGAAGAATTTTACATTTGGTTTTTGACCACAAAATCAACAATGCCAAAAAGTGTGTTTTTGGTTGTGAGGGAAAGATAACCTTGTTCAGCTTCTCAAAAAGAACCCAGCATTAAATCAAAACGTATAATATTTGTTTTGTTAGTTCACATAGTCTTAAGGTGAACAATTAATCCATGCAAGTTAATCCTCTGAAAAAAATAGTTTGTCTTGGTAATCTTTAATCAAAATCTGATCATTTGCTTCTGTTCTGGAATGGCACTCCTGCTCTGATGACGCTTGGGCCATGGCTTTGGGCAGAATTAGCTTAACCACCCCTAAACCGTTAGTTTGCTCCGAGTGAAAGTTGAGAGGAGGAGCGCAAAAATAAACCCCCGCCCTTTACTCAATATTCCGTTTCAGTGGGAAATACGTCACCATACTGAAATAAAGTCGGCAGCAACATCCAGTTCACGCCAAAAAAAAAAATGCAGGAAATTCAGAGAAGAAAGAGAAAAACTTAAACATTGCATTATAAAAGTTAGAAGGGAATGGAACATTAGAGGTGTTTTAGGAATAGAAAATGATCAGAATGATGTTGCACACTCCAATATAGTAGGTGGCGGTATGCACTAGAGGTCTGCGCGGGACTGTTTTTTTTAGTCCCGCTCCAACAAGGTTCTATTCCGCACCCACCCATTCCCACTATATATTCACTCTTTGTTCACCCGCTGTCCGCTTAGAATAATTTTCATCCTGACCCGACCGTTCCTGCTAAATTTAGATCTCGTTTCCAGAATCTCACATTTAAATTTCCGCTACTGAAAGAAAGAGAGATAGGCTGACAAATAAAAGTGTAGTCTGCACAAAATTGTGTTATTTAATTCGTCTTGTCAAGAGTCTTGAATTTATTGACTTTGACTTGAATTTGACTTGAATTTATATGAATTATCTTAAGACACAAAATTTGTTTAATATTTTACGCAACACAGTAGGAAAAAAAGTGTCAGAGAAATTAAAACTGTTGTACAAAAATGTTATTTCTTATTTTTATTCGTCTTGTCAGGATACAATTCGTTTAACATTGACAACACAATAGGGAAAAAGTGTCGCAGAGAGAAAAAAAAATTTAAATGTAGGTTGTACAAAATTTTTTATTCGTCTTGTCAAAATACTAAATTCATTTAACATTATTCTGTTAACACAGTAGGAAAAGTGTCGCAGAGAAAAATAAATAAATACGACATCTTTCATTTAAAATGATAGGCTAAGAAAAATATAAACAAAACCGAGTTGATCGTCCTTCAAGGACAGCGCATCCACACTTTGCTCCATCCTTATTCTGCTCTGTCACTCATCGACAACCTGCCTGTTCTGTCTGAGGGCCGTATATTTACCACCGGTACAGCCTGCTCTGAGCAACGTTATGCACATGCTGCGCACAGACCAGGCAAATAAAACGCGTGACGTTTAAAGCATGCATGCAGCGCGTGCATAACAGTTCTGAGCGCAAGTTGTACTGGTGGTCAATAAGAATAAAGCGCAGATATGCTGTTCTAAATGGACGTCGGGAACGGGATATTGTTAGACCGCCCGCTCCCGTTCCAATTACACCAGAGTTACCGTCCGCTACCGCGTTTTATTCGGGAATTTAATCCCACGGGGTCAAAAAATCGGTCGAATGCAGACCTCTAGTATGCACCTTAATGCTGGCTTTACACAGACTTTAAGGGAATTATTTATGCCAATGTCACAGCTTGCAGATGATATGCTATGCAAAAGCTTTGAATGCTCCTGACTCTTTAGCTCCGCCCATGCCATGCCTCCAGAAGCTCAATTGTTTTAGCTTACTTTTATAAATCTGATAAAACTAAAGACTCCTCGGACATGAAGGATCCAATACTGTATAGGTACTCAAGATTAATGTGAGACTGGCAAAAAAAAAAATAATGTGTGTGTTATGTCCCCTTTAACATTTTTGGTGTGGGTGTCAACATTTCTTAAACGTGTTTAAAGGGGTCATATGATGCGATTTCAATGTTTCCTTTCTCTTTGGAGTGTTACAAGCTCTTGGTGCATAAAGAAGATCTGTAAAGTTGCGAAGACTAAAGTCTCAAATCCAAAGAGATATTCTTTATAAAAGTGTCAGCCACGCCGACCTAAAACGGCTCATTCTAACACACCCCCACATGTCTACATCGCTATGTGGGAAGATTTGCATAACGCCGCCCAAATGTTCACGCAAAGAAAGAAGGCGTAACTTTTATTCTCGCTGTAGTTTTGTTGTTTCCGCTGCCATGTCGTAAAGACACTGTGTGCTTCGTTGTGAAAGCGAAACTACTTTGTTTGGCCTTCCAAAAGAGGACGATATCTGCTTCGTCATGCCTGGAGCTGATCCGTGCTGGTCGCTGAGGAAATACTACAACTTTGCACTGTGGATCACCGGATCGGCTTTCACCGTGGAAGAAACGGAGTCCAGCTCGTAGTCGTCACATGTCGTTCCTTTGTCGAAATCACCTATCGTAGTGCATTTAGATTTTGCTAAAGTCATCATAAGATGTTGTGAAAGTGTGTTTCCATTCCTATTTCAGCATTCGAGGGGGGTCTGTTTATTAATACAAGCTCCTGTATCTGTGTTAATATGCTCTGAAGGGTTGTCCTTACTCTAAAAATAGCACCTCAGTGATCTCTAAGGTGAAACTTGAGAATGTACAATTTCTCGCTCACTAGCTTTAGTTTACTGGTCGTTGACTGTCTGATCCATGCAGAATTACAGAGCTGCTTTGGCAGTGTGTTGAGGTTGCCGTCTTGTGCCGAAGCAGTTGGGTTGCTGCTGGGAAACTAATTTGATACTCTTTACTAACACGTGAGTTTTCCCTCCTTGCTCCTAACTCACCTGGCATCTCTCTATTTTCTCTCACTCGATCAAGCACAGGGGCTCTTTCATACTGTCACCTGTCATCTTGTAATTTCTCATCTCTTTCCCTTTTTTTTTTATCTGTGTACGCCGCTAACATCTCTCCACAGACACGTCACTTGACTGTTTTCCAACCCCCCCAGAGTCTCTGCTCCCAATCTGTGTATCAGATTTAACGACACGTCTAAAATAATCTCAGCAATAACCCTACACTGCTCCTGCACTTTTCGTCTATGTTTTCTTTTTTTAAAGCAACTTCTCACACTTTTAAACTTACCTATTATTATGTGTGATTTGAAAT